ATGAGGGAGTGAGTAGTGGTGTACCAACAAGAATATACAACAAAAGGATGAAAGTCGTTAGAACTTGGAAATATAGCGGTGCCTGAAATAAAAAGTGTTAAACCATTTAATTTATAGTTCAAAGAACCTTCAACACCCACAATGTACATTATGCTGTAATTTCTACGTATTTTTAATATAAGCAAACTGTATTTTTCATGCAGTGTGAATTTAAAAAAATATAAAATGGGCTTCTTGCTGACCAACGTTCACTAATTTTATAATAAGTTCCATGATTTTTTTAAAAAAAGGGCACAAATTGCATACTTATTTAAAAAAATTGTTTTCTATCTAAAGAAATCGATAGATAAATATAAATGCTGATTTATGGTCAGAAATACTTAGTGAATAATATTTATAAGTTATACTCTCTTTTTAGGACTAAATACCTATTTATATGAAAATAATAAAATCTAAGCACCGTAACCATCTTGCCGGCTGGCATTTCAAAGATTTGATTCTAACAAAACGGTGCCCAGTTATTAAACAAATGAAGTTTACCAATTTAAATTTTTTTAAATTTTACATGTACTAAATTTTTCGTATGCAAAAGTTTCTATAAACTAATAGTATTAGTTACAAGATTCATTATTCCACTATACGTATAGGCAAAATAGACCAATAGACCCATGCACGAAAAATACAACTTTTAGTACATTTATAAAAAATTTGGCAACCACAACTGAGCGCGACGCACTAATACCACGTCAAAGTGAGACTGTTGGTGTGCCCAGCATTGCTTTAGATACATTCATTCAGTTCAGGTGAAAATTGATTATATGATAGTTCACCTCAGCTGAACGTTTTTCCACCCAGATACAGCCAGCTGAATGTTTGATTTGATTTAAGTATCATATCAACTATCACCTGACCAATTTCCGTGCGAACTAAAATCATAAATTTTTTTTCATTTTTTTTTTTCACCTGAGCAGCTGAAGTATAACCCACCCACATACATCCAGCTGCTGTTGTAGCCCAACCCACCCACAATGGCGCAGCGGAACGTTACTACGCTTCATAGCGACATCATACGAGTCATATATATTAATATGGCCGGAACTTAAATTATTGACAAAAATATGTCGCTGGCTCCCGGACTATTGTGTCTTGGTGCGCTCGCTATCGTCTTAACTTGAATGTAAATAAATGTTCGCACTCTTCCTTTACGAGAAAGCAAACTCCTATCTCAACGTGCTATCATGTCTCTGGGGTCTCCCTCAAATATGTTGCCGAAGTTAAGGACTTGGGTGTATACTTCGATATGAAACTCAGCTTCTCAACGCATATTAATTATATTGTTTCGAAATCATATGTCATGTTGGCTTTTGTGCGTCGCAACAGCTCTGCGTTTACGGACCCGTACACACTGAAGTTGCTTTATATATCGCTAGTAAGATCTAGACTTGACTATGCTTGTTTTATTTGGAGACCATATATTGCCTCGCATATAAGCCGACCAGAGCGAATTCAAAAGGTTTTCATCAAATCGGCTCTTCGCTCACTGAATTTCAGTGAACCTATACCACCTTACGAATCTTGTTGTCAGCTTTTGGCTTTAAAGCCCTTATATCACAGGTTTGCTTTTCTCGCTTGCTCTTTTGTTGCAAATGTTATGAACAGCTCCGTTGACTGCACAACCCTTTTAGAAAAAATAGCGTGCAATGTCCCTTTTCGTAACCTACACCATTCTCAATTGTTCTACGTGGAGTTTTCTAAGTATAATTACGCTAAATTTGCTCCACTCTTAGGAGCCCTCCTAGAGTTAAATAATGTTCCAAATCTTGATCCGGCACTACCCCATGCAACAGTCCGTATCCTCTTACTTAGCTACTTTAACTAGTCTTTAAGTAAAATTGTTCAGTAGTCAGTAAGAATATATTGTTCATTTGACTAATATTATATAAATAAATATAGGCCAGATCGGATCATAACTATGATTTTTAACAATAACATTACTCCAGTGCCACCTGGCAGGTCAAACTGAGAATCTGAACAACTACGAAGCGACCTTAATCACACAAACAACATTCGTTAAAATCGATTCACTCACAAACACACGAACAGAAGTATTATATGTATATACATCCAAAGACAGGTAATAGTTTCAGTACCTGTTGGAAGATGCTACGACCCCTTCTTAAATATCCCCAATTTTCTCTAAGAGTATGCGATTTAATTCGTATATCTCTATACTACTACTTAAATATTCGAGTACTCAACCATGAACACTTCCGGAGATGTACAGTATGAAAAATTCGGTTTATTTGAGTAGAGTAGAGTACTTGACTGCAATGAACACATCCAGAAATATGCAGTACGAAAAACTCGATTTGTATGAGAGGTGCCACGCCCCCTTTTCCAATAGCTCCAAATTTCTCCAAGAGTATGCGATTGATTTCATATATATTCCTACCAAGCTCCAGAGAACGCGTCCAGAGATATGCGGCATGCAAATTTCGGTTTTCCAATAACGTGCGTTTTTTCCATGAGTACGCGATTGATTTCATATATCTACAAATATACACAAAAAATGTCATACAAATCGGTCAAGCCGTTTCGTAGGAGTTGACCACAAACACCGTGACATGAGATTTTATTCGAATGGTGGCAACGTTATGCAATTTTTTTTCTGCTTTAAGTGTTTTCATACATTCGCAATGGAATGACGTTATTGCGGCTTATTTAAATTCAATTTTTTTTTTGATAATTCAGTGGCAACACCGGTTTTTCATTTTTTTCTTTACAAACCTTCTACAAACAGAGAGAAACAAAACGAAATAAAAACGAAGCAAATCCGTTGAGCCGTTCTTGAGTTATGCGATAACAAACGAACAGCAATTCATTTTTAAATGTAAAGATTTTTTTTCGAGTGGTGACATCCCTATTCAGTATGTGGCAACACCGGTTTTCCAATTTTTTCTTTACATTCGTTTTACAGACAGAAAGACACAAAATGAAAAAAAGCGAAGCAAATCCCTTGAGCCGTTCTCGAGTTATGCGATAACACACGAAAACAATCCATTTTTACATATAATTTTTTTTTTTCAACTAGTGGCAACCCTACCGAAATTTTTTCTGAATTAATTTTTTTATGCATTCTCAGTGAAAAAGCATTATTGCGGCTTATTTATAATAAATTTTTTTTTCTGATATTGGAGATATCTGGCAAAACCATTTTTCCAATTTTCTCTTTACAAACCTTCTACATACAGAAAGACACAAAATGAAATAAAAACCAAGCAAATCCGTTGAGCCGTTCTTGAGTTATGCGATAACACACGAACAGCAATTCATTTTTATATATAAAGATTTATCGAGAAAACATAGAATTGGGCGGTAAGTGAAACAGCGTTACACTGGTTTGCCTTTTCATAGTTTTTATTATTACAAAGCTAGGTACAAACAAGTAAGAAAGTCTAAGTTCGGGCGGAGCCGAACATTAAATACCCGGCGCAAGTATTAAATATATGTTTTCCACCTTTCCGAAAGCTACCGCTACATGATAAGCCGGGGTGTATACATTTTAAGTAAATTAGCGTCCTTAAATTTCGAAATATTGAAATTTCAAGCATTTCTGAAATTTACCGTTATACGAAACGCGGCCGTAATTTTAGACCGATTTCAACAATTTTCAACGGTTTGCTTTTATGTGGCAAGCACAATAACCATACCGAGTTGGTACAAATTGCTAGAACGGTTAGCGAGATACATATATGTGATCACAAGTGGGCGGTGCCACGCCCATTTTCCAAAATTTTATTATAAACGTATTTCTTGGTAAAGAATTGTTGCAACCATCAATTTTGAATAAATTAGCTTTAATATTTACTGATTTATCGAAGATTATGTATTTCTCGAAATTACCGTTATATGGGATGTGGGCGTGGTTATTGTCCGATTTTAGAAATTTTCGGCCAGTTGGTATGCTGTACCAGGACCAACAACTGTGCCAAGTTTGGAAGAAATTGGTGTAGCGGTTACCAAGATATACATGTAACCATAAGTGGGCGTGGCTACGCCCATTTGCCAAAATTTTTTAATATTCTTATTTTTCGACTAAAACTCATTGTAAATATCAATTTTGAGTGAATTATCTTCAGTAGTTACTAAAATATCGCAGTTTTCGTATTTCTGAAAATTACCGTTATATGGGAGGTAGGCGTGGTTATTGTCCGATTTCGCCCATTTTCAATACCATCCGTCCTACGCCCAAAAGAAGTTCACGTACCAAGTTTCGTTAAGATATCTAAATTTTTACTCGAGTTATCGTGTGCACAGACGGACGGACGGACAGACAGTCACCGCTTAATCGATTTCTATTTTCATTCTCATCATTTATGTATACATTTGTCTATATCTATCTCGATTCGTTTTGCCTGTTACAAACAACCGTTATGTGAACAAAGTTATAATACCCTTGTGCACAAGTGCGCTCGGGTATAAAAACGTAACTTTGGGTTAGCGTTTTCCACTTTCACATGTAAATTGGCTATCTTCGCTTGGCTAGTTTTTTCCCACTATCACTAAAGTTTTAGTGATAATGCAATTGGTTTTTCACTATCACTAAACCTTTTTTTCAGTGATAATGAATTCTGCATTTTAACTATCAATGGATAAACAGTGGTAGTGCAATTCAGTGGTAGTCCAAAAATGCCAAACCCTGGTATGTAGATAAGTAAATGCCGGTTCGCTATTCGCGCGAAAAACTTTTTTAAGAACGAAATAAGTCAGTACAAATTGTTAGTAATTTTCATTAGAGTTTGAGTAATTCTTTTCACTATTTGGCTTTTAGTAACTTTAGCGAAAACCTAACTTATTTTATTTTATTCATTTTAGTGCAGCTTTAACAAAATGTTTTTGCCAAAAATCTCTTGTTACATTATTTTATTTTATTCTTTTGATTATACATGTTAAATAAAAGCTTGTTTTTTTTAATAGTTTTTTTTACATTGTTTTATTTTATTTTTACTTTCGCTTTGCTGTCGGCTTTGAAATTTCTCACAGCCACAGCAGGGTTGAAGCAAATGAAATTAAAAAACTCAAGCATTTTCAAATGCTGAACGTCATCAATGATGTCTTGGATAATCGTCAAGAAGATGGATGGAGAATGTTGGTTAAAAACAGGCGCTTTCAGTGTAATTACAAACTACATTAAAATATCATACTAGTACCGACTAACATGTTAAAATTTCGTGTTTCTTTTTTTACTAAATACTTTTTATTAAGAACGCAATAACTCTAAAGTTGCACCTACAAAAACTTTGAAATTATTTTCACAACCAAATCAATTTGGTACAGATTTGTGAAGTGGTTGGCCAATTTATTTTTTTATATGCCCAATGTCCTATAAATAGGACACCTACACAAGAGTTTACATGACGAGTAACGTTTTTCCATGAGCCACTTATTTTATTCATTTAGTTAGTGTTTGGTCATCCCTACCTGTGACAGTACGTGTTGGTAATTTTTTACCAAAATTTCTATGTAATTGATTTACAAAGTTGCAAGTTTTCCAAAGTTTCGGTATATGGTGCTAACGTTGCACGGTAAGTAAAAATTTGCTTATTCAAATATAAAAAATTAACGTTTTTTTTTGTTTTCGTATATACGACATATTCTTCGATTGTTTTATGATTGGGGAATTTGTTTTTATTGTTGTTATATTACTTTTGTATTAGCAAAAATGGTGGTGTCCTACATGTAGGACATTGGGCATATAATATACTATAAATTTCCTACAGAGGATTTTCTCTGCATGAATCTTTGGCTCTTTTAGAGGATGAAAATATAGATTTCGATAGCATAGCATTATTTCCAGAAAAAATGCACCTGCAGACATTACCGAGGAGGTTTCTGTCGACGAGAATTATGTCGGTATAAATAATTATCCAGTTTCGCAGATGAAAAGGAGCGTTGAAGTCTTTTCGGAAACCGGTTTTGATGATCAATGGGATCCCGGTAGTGACATACCATTGTCTAAGAATCGCATGCAATCGGAGTAAATCCCATAAGTTTCAACAAGCGATACTCCTAACAAGAGCAAACTCGTATCGTAAAATATTGTAATAAAAGCATCGATCGTTCGGACCAAAATATTAGCGTCTACCACAGTGCTATGCGAAGTAAGAAATAGTGTTTTCCCCTAATAACTAACTTTGTGGAAATGGCGGTACGAAATGCCTGGCAGACTCATAAACAATGGATCCCTTACCTTTCAGGAGAAGAATTACGACAGCTTAACTCGCCCAAAATAAAAAAAGGAAGGTTTACGCATAGATCCAACAAAGAATTGGGCCCAGATGTGGCGCTTGTCATCAGAAAACCACAATAAGATGCCAAAAATTTAACATTGGATTACATGTCAAATGTATTGTCACAGATCACATCAAATAACTCAGACAAAGTTAGTAAGATGCCAAAAATTTAACATTGGATTACATGTCAAATGTATTGTCACAGATCACATCAAATAACTCAGACAAAGTTGATAATATGTCATGTGCCCAATGTCCTATATATAGGACAGCTTTATAATATGTTTCCAAATTTTTATTTTTAAATCATTACCAAACCCCGTCTTTTTATCATAAGTTTAGATGAATATAATCGCAAAACCCGTTGAAAAGGTAATGTACGACGAATGGGCATATCTGGGTTAATGAAAACCCTTTTTCGAAAAAGAACGTAGTTTTTGGTAAATACTACATATTTGGAAACTTTCATAAAATTAGCGATGGTCAAGTTGAAAAAATTACAAAAATAGGGGGTTTTTAAATTTATCGGATGAAAAACTCCTAACAACCTAAGTCTAACAATAATTATTTTAGTTATTTTTATTATTTTTATTATACTATTTATTTTATTATATTATTTTATTTAATCACTTTAAAGGTACCTAAATCCTCTTAAAAAAATATTGTTTTTAAAATCGGATGAAAATAGTCAAGCTATTAATACTTAGATAAGTGCATAAACTATGAAAATAACATTTATTTTAATAAAAAATGGAGAGTTCAGGAGCTATAAGAAACCTATTTGAATGTTGTATCTAATAAGCTACTCGAGTGGAACAATTGCGTTTTTATTTGTTATAGGACTCCTCATATGTAGATATACTTGTGTTTAAATTGTTGGTTCGTATTAACGTTTTTTTTGCATGAAGTTATCTGCTGAGATCGTTTCACAAGACACAAAGGCACCTGTACCAACACGTGTCCTAGAGCGACTTCTGCTCAGTTGGGCACGTCTTTCTGCACCCGAAGGTCTCGGTCGTCTTTGCCTTTGATTTCGATTTCCAAAAGCAGTTCCTGTTTGCAAAGCTTCCAATAAACTATCCATAACACCTTCTTGGGTTTGTGTAGAGTCCATGTCAACGAGCGCTAATTTAAGTTGTTGTCGCTCCAATTGCTCGCGCAGTGATTGCTCTCGTGCATCCTGTAGTCTTCGCTTTTTATTTTCCTCTTCGCGTTGGTGAACATTATCTTGATATGCTTGCAAAAACGCATCCTTAAAGGCTTTAAGGTCAGTGAAAAATTCCTCCATAGGATATTTGTTGTAGTCAAAGGCAAAATATTCTCCCAATTCCTTGTACAGATTTTCCATTTGTATTTGCATTTTTCCTTAAAAATAAAAGAAAGTAGTTAGAAACAAATTTACGAAATTGTACACAATGTCTAGAGCAGTGCTAGGCAAAATACACATACACACATTCATTGCACACAAAGCACTCATAACCTCGCGAAGCTACTGGCTGCCTGGCACTGGTCAAGAGCAAAGCAAATGGTGAATTTTTAAATATATTTTTTTAAACGCTACAGACTACAGTAAAATAGATTCAGTATCTAGACTAGTTACGAAAATTGGAAAATAAATGGACCTACAACGAAACGCCGCACAGTATGGCGACTAGAAGAAGCTACCGCGACCAAACTATTTTATTAGTTTTAGATAGATAAGGTCGAAACTAAAAAAAAACGTTCTAGGGCCAGGGTCGGAAATATCCCGTTCAGCCAAAAACTGTTAATTTATGAGAAACAAGTAAAGAAGCATAAGTTCGGGCGAAACCGAATTTTATATACCCGGCGCAGGTATCAACTATTGTCGTTCCAACTTTCTTTAAACTACCTAAAAGTCTATAGCAGTTTTATTTATTGTTAAGAGATTGTTGTAAGTATTAACTTGGAGTAAATTGACGACCTCAATTATTGAAATATAGGAGTTTTCGTATATCCGAAAATTACCGTTATAAGGGAAACCGATGCAATTTTAATCCGATTTGAATAATTTTCAATGAATTGCGTTTCCGTGCCAAGGTTATTAAATACACCAAGTTTGGTAAAAATTGATAAATCGGTTACCGAGACACACATTTGTGGTCATAAGTGGGCGGCGCCACGCTAAAAATCCAAAAATTTATAATAGTCTAATTTTTTGAGTCAATTAGCTTCAGTTGTTACTGATTTATCGCAATTTTAATTTTTTTGAAATTACCGTCACATGGAAGTGGCCGTGGGTTTTGCCAGATTTCAATCATTTTCAGCAAATGTCTTGGCTGGATCCTAAGAAAGGCTCGTACCGAGTTTGGTAAGGTTTGGTGAGCCGCTACTAAGATACAGTATTTCATCATAAGTGGGCGGGTTCACGCCCCTTTCCCAAAAATTTCATAATAATATTATTTTGTACCAAAATGTTACTTCACATCGTCGCTGCGCCAACAAAAACAGTTATGTATTTTTCAATAACTTTTCAGGAGAGCAAAAAACTGATTCCTAGTGCCAATAGGTAATATTTTGCAAGTGTCGTATTGAAAAAAAAAATTATATTAAAAATAAGCTATTGATTTAGGAAAAAAAATTTATTTTTTGACCAATTACGACGTGATCAACATTTGCGCCCCTTTAAAGCACATAGCTGTTTTATGCACGATTTAAATTTGCTTTTGGCGGTTTGGAATCGTATGCAATTTGTACGTAATACTGCCGTTAGGCCTAGATGAAATGTATAGAAGTTGAGGACTCGATTATTTAACTGCCCGTTGCTCCTGTTATGTAATGAAAAATGGTCAGAAAAGTTTTTATTGGATTTTTGTAATAAAAATTAATGCAAAGTGATGAGTGGGCACATACTTTGTACCAACCATTAAATTGCCAGAGATGCGAACTGTTTTTTCGTTCAGCGTACTCAGGGTTCGGATTTGCCTCATTTTAGCTCCTCCCTCGCTCGTTAGTTTACTCTGAGTTTGCGCACGAGCACTGCTGTTTGCAAACGAGCACTCGTTAAGTACGAGCGCACGCGCTGAGCAGCCAGCGAGCGAGTAAGCAAACGAGGGCAGCGCAAGAGTAGAGCGGCAAGCAAACGAGGGCCTCATTAGCTCTGCCCTCGCGAGGGCGTCATTGCGAGCGAGGCACTCATTTGCAGCAGCAGACGACCGAGACGAGTAAACGAGCGAGGCAAATGAGGCAAGCAGATTAGACAGGCAAGCGGGTTGTTTGGGCAGCAAAAATGTTTGGGATAAAAATTGCATTAACTAAGAATTTCGAGTAAAGGATTGTATGCACGCATGCAGATATGTATATACATACATATGTACACATATGTATGTATTTATTTATGTATATATTCTCATATCTATGTAGGTATAATTTTTTTAATGTTCAATAATTTCTTATCAAATTTCAACTTATACACTTAGGTATCATTTTATGCGATTCTTTTTTATGCGGATTTGAATTTATGCGGTTTTTCAAACCCGTTTTTCGCTGTAGCGATTTTGCTTTTTTGAGAGCTTTTATTATCTTTTTTCAATGTGTAAGGGGCAATGCTTCTGATAAATAAGTTGTCTTTGTATTCTTACATACAAGTAATTACTAAGTAATTCGGCTAAGTAACTATGTTACATATGTATAAATGAGAATATAATATTTACAAAAATCATTATTTTGTCTTTCATTTCATAAATGAGTAGGACATTCGCATTTTCAAATGAATATTCCTCGTTTAGTCCCCATACATAAGTATGTATGTAGTATACGACAAACTACTATTTGGGGTATTAAACAGTATTTGATAATTAAGGCTGGTCCACATCGAACTTTCGCGTTGACTTTGTAGTTGGCGTTGGTTTGACAGAACGCACGTTAAAAGTATGCGTTCTACAATGAAGCTTGGCAGAGACTACTTTGACCACTAAATTAACATATTAACGAGAGATAAATTAATATTTCATATCAATAATTGCATGAAAAATTATATTTCTTGTCCTCATTTGATTAAAAAAAACATTTCATATATTTTTATTTATTTGCAACAGCTGGCGACCGACGCAGCGATCTTTCTGCTTTATGTTGGCCTTAGCGCTGCCAAATTTTGACTATGTGGACGGCGGCTTTGAAATTCAACGCCAACGCAACGCCAAAGTTGTATGTGAACCGGCAAATTTTCCCGTGTCTACATATCCATACATACATACATATATACATATGTCCTTGAACAACAGGCCACAAATAAATTTTTCACCAGGGATTATATTTCATTCAGGTATACAGCATTACTGCTACAAGCAGCAAACTATTTTCTTAACAAGTGCTTACTTGTTTTTTGTTTCTGTGGCACAAACGATTATAATATCTTCATTACTTACTTTTCTCTGTAAAGACAAAATACATGCATATGTGCATACGTAAATGCATACATACATACATATATAAATATGCATGTTATGTATATACATATGTATGTATATAACTCTAAAAAATATTGCGTTCCATAATCTATGCTTATGTATGTAATAAATTTTATTTGTTGTTTTAAATGATGCCCTAATATAATATTCACATATTTAGAAACATATGTACATATGTACATACAATTGTTAACATACTTTCGTACATAACCTATTGACATTCATTCCCACATTTATGCACAAAAATGCATGTGTTGTATAGCACACTCGGAGCGCTCGCTCGTCGCTCGCTCGTCGCTCACTCGTCTTACCTAGCAGAGCGAGTATACAGATAGGTACTCGCCTCGAACTGCGAGCGAGGCAAAACACAACAGCCTCGCTCGTTTAATAGAAGCGCGAGCAAACAAGCACACTCAATATATATAAAAAAACTTTAAACGGACTGACAAAACCAGCAAGAAAAATTCTATTACGTTTAGGAGTCATTGACGAGAAGGCTTTAAAATATTAAACTGCTATATAATCACAGGAATTTATTTAATTCAGCTTGCTCTTCTACCGCTGTGGTGCAAGCAGGCGGGGCCTAGCTAAGGCCGAGGTATAAACTCTCCTGCCGCGTCTAGTGGCGGGCCGGATGGGCTCGCTCTAGGGAGGCTGGGGTGGGCATACTGACACCATTTCGAGGGGGTACCTGGCGGTAGGTATAAAACGCATGCGTCACCGTGCCCATTGGATGGTTTGCAGTCAGGGGGGTTTCCGACTGTAATCTAACGGCAACTGTGCCTTAGACGGTCCCAAGCCCGGTTTGAGAAAACAGGAGGGAAGACAAGGGGGCTTTGGTATTTCCAGGGTACGGGCTTGACAACCCCGTCTACCCCAGTTAAAGGCTACCAGTCCTGAGTCGGTGGAGGCTCAACTGGAAGAAGAGTCTACGGCTTTCGAGAGTCATACCAAAGACTTTAAAAATGGTTCCACGGGGAACTCGACTAGGAAAGGGTGAAAATAAGTTGGATGAAAGTTGAAATCGAAGGAAATGTTGAAACTGTTGGAAACCGTTGGAAAATGTTGAAAAAGTTGTGCGCAAGTTGAGCAATTTGATCCGTTGCGAGAGCTGAGCGAGTGGAGTCACCTCTCCTGGATGTGGAGGGTGCCTACGAGCGAGGCGAGTAAGACGTGTGAGATGAGCAAGACGGAGCAAGATGGTGAATGTGTGTCGAGCAACTCGATCCGTTGAAAGTTGAGCGAGTGGTGTCACCTCTCCTGGATGTGGAGGGTGCCTACGAGCGAGGCGAGTAAGACGTGTGAGATGAGCAAGACGGAGCAAGATGGTGAATGTGTGTCGAGCAACTCGATCCGTTGAAAGTTGAGCGAGTGGTGTCACCTCTCCTGGATGTGGAGGGTGCCTACGAGCGAGGCGAGTAAGACGTGTGAGATGAGCAAGACGGAGCAAGATGGTGAATGTGTGTCGAGCAACTCGATCCGTTGAAAGTTGAGCGAGTGGTGTCACCTCTCCTGGATGTGGAGGGTGCCCACGAGCGTGGCGAGTAGACGTGTGAGACGAGCAAGACGGAGTATGATGGTATGAAGTGTGCATGTTGAAATGGAGATGAATGTGGAGTGTAGTAGTCGTGTAAGTCGTTCTAGTGTGGGCTGAGTAAGTTAAGTGGGTCAGGGTGAGTTGAGCCAGTTGAGCAAATCTCGCCGGCGAGCATTACTCCGGTCTGTTCATGAGTACGGCCCCTTTGGAGAGTATCGTCGTGGCAGAGAACGTCAGAGGTTTAGGTAGGCCTCGGCCCTACCAAGGTGGCAAGTGCGTCCACCACATACTGTCAATTGGTACTGAAGTGCTTGCAGTTCAGGGCAGTGACTAATGCAAAATTTAATACGTCGTGCTAAGTGCGGGGACCGTGATTAAAGCTTTTTGGCAGGTAATCACGT